TACCAAATAGTTTCTCTAGTGTGAGAAACTGAAAGTGTAAATAAGGACTAAAAGGTATAATAGATAATGTGAAATAGGAAGAAAAGGAGCAAAGGAGAAGGGAAAGGGGAAGTGAGATGGGTAGGGGAAAAGAAAGAGGGGAATGGAATTTATATGAGAAAAAGAAAAAATGGAAACAAAGTCTTTGTAAATACGGAGGTATGGAGGGGTTGAATTGAGGGCAGGGGAATGGGGAAAAAATAAGAACCAAGATGGATTACGTAAAGGTGCAAGTTTCCAATGATGAATGTCATTATATCATATACCTTAAATGTACCAATAAAATTAATTTTAAAAAATAAAATAAAGAAGATTAATGTAGCAACTCAGAAGGAAGTTCATATAACCTAGGGCCTGGACAAAGTAAGTACTCAATAATTATTTGATGAATTAATGAATGAATAAACAAGCCTCATTTCACAATCATTTCATATGTCTCCTCTTTAACATCATATGGCTTCTGACTGGCTATTGAGCAGCAAGAATCAAAGTTTGGAAATCCTCCAAATGTCTAACAAATATACTATGGTCAATTAAGTAAATGTTAATAAATGTAAGAAACACAGTGAATTTATGTAACAAAAAGACATGAGTTCAAGATCATACTGTTTAATTAAAAATAAAATAAAGATGGACACAATGGCACATGCCTGTGACCTCACCAGCTCATGAGGCTAAGGCAGGATTACAAGTTAGAGGCCAGCCTCGGCAACTAAGTGAGTCCTTGTCTCAAAATTTAAAAAAAAAAAGTGGGGGACATAGGTCAGTACAAAGGCCCTCGGTTCAATCTGCAGTACTATTATTAAAAGTTTAAATTAAAATTAGAGTCTGTTGCTTCAGGGAGTACTGTGAGAAGTGACATCACTTTAAATATAAAAATTCTTGTGTCCTAACTAGAAAGCAACCCACATCAATCTGTGGAATATCTAAACTACAAAATAAAGCAAAAGCAACTGATTATATTTTCATGTTTATATAATACCTTAAATAGGCAAGCAGGTGAGTATACTTTTGTAAATATATTTTGTGGGTATATTTAGCAAATTACTGTTAAGAAGGAAAAATTATACTTA